TAATTAGCGAGAGCTCCATCCCTCCATCAGTGGCAGCAAAGTGTACGATGTTACGCAGTTTCTGGGGAATCATCCTGGTGGTGAAGATGTGATTCTTGAGTAGGCTTTATATCATAATCCTTACGGGTGGCTATTGGTGTTCTAACGCGGGGTTTCATAGCTATGCCGGGAAAGACGTTGCAGAGATTCTCGTTGACGAGATCTCCCACAGACATTCGGAATCTGCCTACGAAATTCTCGACGACTACCTCGTTGGCTTTCTGGAGGGTTCAAGGCCGCCATCCCCGCCTGGTACACCCGCCACCACATGCTCATTGACCGGAGTGTCTTCAGAGGAAGAACTCTCGATCCCGACTGATATCGCGACAGACTACAAGGTACACAAGTTCCTTGACCTCAATCGGCCTTTGTTTATGCAGGTGTGGAATGGAGGGTTCAGTAAGGAGTTCTATCTTGAGCAAGTCCACAGGCCTCGGCATTACAAGGGCGGCGAGTCAGCTCCGTTGTTCGGAAATTTTCTGGAGCCACTGAGTAAGACGCCGTGGTATGTTGTGCCGTCTATTTGGCTTCCTTGTGTCGCCTACGGGACGTACGAAGCCAGCAAGGGATTGCCGAATAATTGGACTGCAGCTGGTTTGTTTGGGTTTGGGCTTTTTCTTTGGACCTTAGTTGAGTATATGTTGCATAGGTGTTTGTTCCACATTGATAAGTACGTTTGCATTCTCCCAAATTCTGTAGGTGTTTTTACTTACCGGGATCCAGGAAAATGCCTGACAATCGCGTAGCGATTACGGTGCACTTCCTTCTTCATGGAATTCACCACTACCTTCCCATGGACAAGCTTCGTCTTGTCATGCCGCCAACACTCTTCTTGGCTCTTGCTACACCTTTCTGGCACTTGGCTCATACTGTCTTCGCGTTCAACTGGTATGTCGGTACTATCGTATTCTGCGGCGGTATCTTTGGCTACGTCTGTTACGACCTCACCCATTACTTCTTGCATCATAAATCGTACGTTTCTCTCTACTAGCCTTTGATGGACTTTATTGGACTATACTAACATTAGGAGTAGACTTCCATCATACTATCGCGAACTCAAGAAGTACCACCTACAGCATCATTTCGCAGACTATCAAAAGGGCTTTGGAGTCACAAGCAAGATCTGGGACAAAGTTTTTGGGACAGAGCTCATCTATGGACCTAACGGGCCTGTCAAGTCAGAGTAAGCGATTGATTAGAAAAGTCAATTTCAAAAGGAGGATAAAAATGATATTAAGAAATCGGGGGGAAGTTTCACCGACTGCACAATGGGGTGACTGGCGTTTTACTTTTTGTTGGATTAAACTTTTTTTGTTTTGTGGATGTTATACCTTGCATTTGGTACTAGTACATACCTATATTCTGTGGCATTTGAATGAGTGGAGAGAGGTGGGATAATGGCTGGAGGCTTATATTGAATTTACCTAATACTTCATTGTATTCCATCAATATTCGCGGGGTGGCTGTTAGGAAAAAAGTGAGGCGTTTGCGATTTCTTTGCGGCTCTACGAGCGGGGTCTGTGCGTACTCCATCCCACTTTAAATTCGCAGACCCCACCAAAGATCTACTGGTATTCTTGAGTTTGTTCAACGGACGGAGTAAACTCCCACCCGCCCATCACCACCGCAATCATGAATCGACGAATGGTGAATCTTCTTTCCCATAATGGTTGCTCGGAAAAAATGGACATGACAGCTAATTCGGTGGGAAGCTCTCTCGTGAGGACGAATCCACGACCGATGTAGCGGTAACCCGGGAAGACCAAGACCGTATTAACAAGTTCTCAACGCTACACCAGAAGCAGGGACTTTTGAAAGACGAGCTTGAGAAGAAGAGCGTACTTTGCCCGCATCCAGTTCTGAATTTTTCGCTTGGCAGAGCGAGGAAAAAAATTTAACTGACCGATTGATTTTCCGGAGTATAGCAAGAAAAGGAGTACATTGAAGACGTCTCTAACGAACTAGAACTTGCGGATGATGATGACTTGATACCGTTTTCTCACCCCCCCCCCGCTATTTTACGACACCAGCGAACCCAAGAACTAATTCTGATTGCGCTAGGTACAAAATTGGCGACTCGTTCCTTCATCTCCCGCTCGAGGAGGTCATGCAGCTGCTCGAAGCGAATAAAGAAGAGGTTGGAAAGGGAGTCGAGGAAATTGTAGAGAAGATGGAGGCCAATGAAGTGGTTATGAGCAGTCTTAAGGTTGAGCTTTATGCGAAGTTTGGCAAGGCTATTAATCTTGAGGTTTAGTTTGGGGAAAAAGGAACGGGGGAAAGAGGGTGTTAGTGATGTATCCTAAAGGATTGCGACAACGATAGTGAAGTCTTGGGTGGCCTTGGGAGTGGGATGCGATGTGATATCCAGGTTGTTATGTTGTGATGCTTTAGAATTGATGGATGGCTGGTGCAGAGTTCATTTGTGGGATTTTTTTGGGGGTCTAATGTAGTTGGGGTGGGTTCACTGAACTACGGTAATTCGGCACCAAATTCACCACCAAATATTCTACAGAATTTAACACAAACGAATCCATCCTCCTGCCTACCGGAGCTTCATCTCTGCCAACATAACTCCCCGATTCACTATGGCAAAATCGCCGGATCCAGATGCTCTCCCCTTTTCTACCTACCTCCGCCGGCACTAACCGAACGGGCGATTCGCTTGAAGAAACACCGTGGTGGTTTCCATATTCGACTTCCTCGGGCCCCCAACTTGGGGGCCGCTGTCTCGAATGGGGGCTCAAGACCTGTGCGATATACCGGTAATACTTTACGCTACAAGTGACCACAAAGGTCCGGGCGTCATCTTGACCCCTGTTGCTATTACTACTGGAAGCGCCGATGTACTAGCAGGTCTTATCGGATTGCGTATTCGGCTCGAATAGGTAGGAAGGCGTGTATTGAAAGGATGAGTACTGTACCAAGACTTGGGGGAGGACAAGCACAAGCAGAGGTTTTTTTTTGGGGGGAGAGGGTATGGAGAGTAGTAGTGGAAGGGGAGGGGAAATGCTTTTTTTTCTTTCTCTTGAAGTAGGCGAGTGATTGCATGTGAACGTCTCGATCTGATGTTTCAGTGAAAAGTGCTGTCACTAGGTTCCGGATGGGGGTATGATAGTATGATAGCACAGTACGACTGAAGCGTCATAAGCTAGGAAGTAAGGGGTTAACTTTCACCAAGCTGACGGGGTAGGTATCATATGTTTTATCCAGCCCGGAGAGGAGACGGAGGTGCTGGTGGCTGCGTATCATATCTGCCATATCTACCCTCTACCGCTCCTCTCAAGGCATCAATACGATGATATGACATCGGCCATAGCCATACCTGCGCATCGCCCCCAAACCACTCGAGTAAACTTCCCTCCCTCCCTGTGGGGCACCATAACTCGTAAGGCATCAAAAGCCCCCAACCGCAAACTACCGTCTACCCTGCAGGATTCATTACAAATATATTCACGATTTCGAGTCAAGCATCGTGCCATTTGCCTTACCAACTTGCTTGCTTGCTTGTTTGTTCTTGTGCGCCGTGCCGAGAGAGCTCCATGCTCTGCCGGTGCCATAAAACGGGAATAAAAAATTGGGCTGTATCGCCTTGTCAGGTCCTTACGCTCGAGCGCCGCGCGGAGGCCACAGTATTCGCTGCGCGATGTAATACTAATAATAGTAGTTTTTCTGGCGGTGGTCGATGGTTGGTGCCCTGTGCGGTGAGGGTGGGGGTTATTGTAAACGGTGATCACGTTTTGGCCTGGGTTAGAGGAATGTCGATGGGGCGGGGGCGGTATAGGAGCGGGGGGTGGAGGAGTGGAGAAGCAGGGATGATCTGTGTTGCGTGATATATCGTGGTATGCACGGCACGCATAGCGAGGGGCGTTTATTGTCGAAGGAACTCGTTTGAGTGTGATATGCAGCGGATGTTTTTTTTTTTTTTTTCCACAAAAATTTAATTTGTATTGTAGCTTATTTTGGTGTGCTGAATCTACCCTGGTTTTTGCTCTGTTATGGTTGTTTCAATATCCCGGGAACTTGAGAGCGGGTGAGAACTCAATGGTAGTGCAATGTCGTGGCAGTAGTAGTGGTATCAGTCCATCGTACCATAGGATTGTTTCCCAGAACGTGGACGGAAGGAGGGCTGCCTCTCTCCCTCTCTCCTCTATCCCCACATTCCCCATGCCAGGGGAAAAGATAGTCGGAAGGTTTGTTATAGAAGAGCACTTGTACGTTTTGGCGGGTATAGCCCTTCTCTGATCTTCCACATTCTCTTCCATACGTACCCTTTCTCCCTCTCTCCCTCCCACTCACCTCCGACAAGGAAGGGGAATAATGCAGGGAGGGCAAATATTCTCTCCAAAGAGCAGAAGGAAAGGAAAAAAGTCATGAAACAGCACAGCATAGTGGGTCAGGGGTTTTCATGGTTTGCTTCTCTGGATGAGACGTGGGGCGGATGGCGTCCCCGCATTAATGAGCGGAGAAACAGCTTGTAGGTCCAAAACTTGAATCATTGCAACAGGACAGGAGATAGCACTAGTAGGAAGCTTGGTTGGCTGACTCGGGGATATAATGCTTACTTGTGTCTGCATGAGTTCCTGAAAGATGTGAGGTGCAAGGACTAATACAACGGGCACTGTGCTCCCCACGGCACCTTCCCGTGCTCCGCCACGGGCTGCAGAAATATGATCTACCGTCTACTCTTAAACATGAGGAAAAAGAAAGGAAAAAAAAGGGCCTAGATTGTAGAACGGTAGCAGCATGATAGCCGATCCATCGTGGCACGGTACTCGTCCTGCCTCCCATTTTCGCGAGGTGCAATACCAAATCATTTGAGTTTGGATTTCAGTGTGGACCCTCAGATTTAGACAGATGATTTTGCCTCACACCGGATACTTGTGACGGTGCCTGCTCAGTATAGTACTGGGGGGGGGGGTTGAAAACCGGTAATTCAGAGTGGGTGAGGTCAAATTACCGTGTACTGTACTGTACTGTACCGGTAATACTTGTATATTATAATAGATAGAGTGCCGGTTATGTTAGGCGTAGGGGACTTTGTGTTGCTAATATGCAAGATCATTTTCCCCGTGTTGCAATCGGGCATTTTTTAAACTTTCGCAAGGCTGGATGCTTTGTTTGAGGCAGTGCGGTGCGGTACTAAGTTGCCGTACAGTGCCGGTGCATCATCCCATAGCGGCTATTGAAAGAGTCCGCAAGTACTGACCGATGTGGTAGGACTGACCACTTTAGTCTAGATCAATACAGTATCGTACTTGTGGGCTCTTGCGATAGCCGCCTACCGCTATGGATCCATGTGCTGTACTGTACAGTGCTAGTACAGTACTTTGCTGTGCTCGTATTGTACTGTACATTAACAATGCCGGTACCGGTATTGTGCTAACTCGCCGAAACTCCCCTTTCTAATTAGAGGTTATTTCAATAGTTCTAGATGACAAAAATAATCACTTGGGATTTTTTCTTCTTCTCACAGTTCAACTTCCCGTCCTTACTTCTACTTCTTCTGGTGGGACATGATATGGCGTCTGCGTTTCTTTTCCCGCTCTCTCCCGCCATCGGCTTACCCGAACTCTGGCCGTGAGGCGTTCAAGTAGCCGCTGTATGAATAAGCAGATAAGAACTCCTAAAGATATCCATGGAAGCAACCAACTCATCGCATTTTATGCAACCTATACAGTGCGCTACGTTAAGTGCATACGAGCTCCCTTCATCCCTTCTCTGTCATATCATTATCACCATCATCATCATCACCATCATCACAGCCACTACCGCCAAGGCTGGTGGGGGCGGTGAGACGATTCCTCTCCGCGAGGGGAAAACTGGTAATGGCTATTCTTGCTTCCCGCATCCTTCCTTCCTTCCTTCCTTCTTTGTTTCTTTCTAACCATTGTCTGTCATAGCACAGCTCACAGACAGATTAAGATTAATTGAGTTACCCATGTAATTCAGCGTCCGTATCGTGGGATAATAATAAATCGAATATCGTATAATCCAAATACGATCGCATCGCGGCGAATACTAGTCCTGTATGTAAGTCACTTAGCCCAGATCCGTGGACAAGTGCTCTAGGAAGGGGGGGGGTGCGGAAATGGGAAAAGCGGATAGAACGAAATGAAACATCCTTTTTCCTTTTTTTCCTTTTTATTTATTTTCTTTGGTGAGCCTCCTCCCTTGTACAGTACTTGTATTACAACGATGCGGTGGTAGTACAACAGTTCCCGTTAGTGGTTGCTTGCGGGCGCTTATTTGGCTGATTGGGTACTATATGTAGTCTACGGCTTGTCGTACAGTATGAAATGGTGCTTGTGGAGGTGGAGGTTTTAACGTTTTGTGGTATGGAATAAACGGCACTTGGGTTTCTGTTCTATCCCCCCCCGTTTGCGAGTGTATCATATCCGGGGACCAAAACTTTGGCCGGCATGCTGTGTTAGCTTGTACGGCCGCCCGTAAAAGATTCCACTCGATGAATATATATCGTAACATCATGGAGAAAGGAAAAAAAAAAAAAAAAAAAAGAGAGACATGAGGGAACGGCAGTTAAGTGGAATTGATTCAATTGTATATCATAGCTGACATCCTCCCCGTCAATGAACGTGCGGACTTAGGAATCTTTTTTGGAAATTGAGCTTGCTCAGTTGAATTTGTTCAGCTTACCCCTTCATTTTAAATATTACTTTCCCTTTTCTGCTTTTCTACTTGCTTGCCTGTTTGCTTGCTTACGGGTTGGCGCACACGCTACGGGACTGGTTTCCTGGATTACGATAAAACCAATCAACCCTCTCACCCCCCCAATACTTAAAGGACTGCACTATTCAAAGGACCCCCAAGTTTAATACACTTAGGGAAACGAGAGTGAAGATGCCCGTTGACCTTTGTGACGAAACAATTCAAGACTTTATCGACATTTGGGAGAATATGGAGCTTGACCTATCACTCGTTTCAATGTCTCCAGATATTCCTCCGGCATCCCGATCAAAGGGCGGTGACCTCTATAGGGGGGTTCCAAAGGTTAAATTCTCGACGCAGGAGTTAGGAATGAATGTGGGATGGGAGAGGGGTAAAAAGGAGGAGCCAGCGCTTTATTTGCAGCTTCAGACGTCTTTCAGAAGACAAGATGTGAGGGGGGATGAAAGGTGGTCAACCCAGGGAAATGATGAAGGTTCTTCATTATACTCACTTACGTCGGTCTCTTCGGACGACTCGGAAACAATGGTTCTGACGCCATATATCGTGTCATCCCCAACTTCGTCGGGCTTGGGAGCTTGCCAAAGCTTGTCTTTCGGGGGGGAGGGGAGCTTGAGCTCCTCCGCTAGCACTACGCCTGACTATGAATTATCTCCTGTTAACCTCTCACCAGTGCCGGAAGCACTACACCCTCCTCACCTATTTCGGGATTTCGGGAACACTTCGGCTCCTGCACTCGTGACCCAGGAATCTCTTTTGTATCCGGCAGTGACGAGGGCCCCACCTGGCCCTACAACCCCATTCCAGTTGGCCAGTGTGCCAGAGATAGCCCATCAAAGATCACATTCGAGTGCCGGCACGACAGGTCACCCGTCGCCGTGGGATTCATACTTTGAAAATCCCCGAGCACGACCCGTCACCCCCGCGCGAAAGGCGGTCTCAACACCGAGCTCTCCGGTCAGGCTGCGGGCGGCTTGGTCTCTAGTCACAAACTCCCTCACAACGGGAGTAGGTGGATCGCCAACCTCGCCCCCGCCACGCTCCCGGGGATCGACGAGCACACCGTGTGTGCCAGTGTTAGCACGGAGAGCGGCGAAAATTCTCGGGGTTGGCTCCCCGCCTACGTCGACCCTCCCCCATGGTCTAAGGTCTTACTCTAGCAATCTTTCCACTGCGTCATCCTCACCCACACTTCTCTCAAGAGGGCACTCCTCCACTGCCTCCTCTTCCTGCTCCTCCCGCTCCTCAGCTTCAACACCGAGGAGTCCAGTCGCATACGACCCAACACTGGACTGCGCAACACTAACCACCGCCCTAAACCAATACACCAAAACCCGCAAAATCCCATACCTGCTGAACAAGACCGCTGCAAAGATAGCTCTTCAACCCTCTAACCTGCCGGACCTCGACCGAGCCTTCTCATCCCTCCCGAGCAACCAGGGTATATGCCTCAGCACTAAAATCCGCACCCAGACCACGGGCCCGCACAGACTCCTCCTCCTGAAACTACTCTCTGGCCCTCACCGCGGGGAGGCGGAATGGCTAAGCACGTACTGCTGCCCCCTCGGTCCCCGCCACACACGCACACAAATCCCACCTGACGACAAACTATTAGCGGAGATCATCTTTGGCAAATCCCCGCGCGAACTCCGGCTTCTCAAGGACACCTTCGCCGAACTGAACAACGGTTGGAACATCCGCGATGCCTTGGCGGAACTATACCCCGTCGGAACCACCGGCGCCGCCTTCGGCCGCGCGGCGAGTCGACTGATGAAGTGCGATCGCGACGAGGAGGACGAGATCCTCGGGGCCAAAAGGGGAGAGGAGATCGTGGCACATGTGGAGGACCTGTATGCCGTTGGGGAAGGGGGTGGTGGGGTCAAGTATCTCGATCAACGACTCCTGCTGGAAGTTGTGATCCGCAGGAGCGATGGCTTCTTGAGGGATTTGTGTAGCAGGTTTAGGGAGAGGCATGCGCGCGAGCTCGTGGACGTTGTGGCGGCAAGGGAGAGGGTGGTCGTGGGAAAGGGGGGAGCTTGGCCGAATAATTTGGTACGCCTGCTTATTTTTTTTGCTTTTACAAGTGCTTTTTTGTTAACTGGAGCAGGAGTACGCTATTATTCACGCACTTAGCTGCGCCTCCTCGAGACCAGCACGGGATGCGAAACTCCTACACGACACAATCGGCATACTGCGAGTTCAGGATGCTAGGCTCATCGCACGCGCCGTGAGACTACATTACGACCAGGACCACCTCCGCGCCGTGAAGGCAGCGTACAAAGCAAAGTATGGGAAAGACCCCGCCGAGAGGATCGGCGGTGAAATAAAGAAGGGCGCGTATGGGGATTTGATAGTGCGGGTACTCAAGGGTGCGAGAGTTTAGTTATATCGTGGGGAGATTTTTTTGTATATATATGTACTGTACAGGAAGAATACGGCGTTTTCCGGGGTTTCTTTTGCATTTCTGAATTATTAACTTTCCTCTCCTTCCTCTTCTCCTTCTCCTTTCCTATCTAACTATCTATGCATCTATTCGCTAGATGAGTTCTCCCCAATCTGTATATTCCCCCAACAATAAATATCTATCACACAATCTCACTCGCTGCCAATAATTTTTCTTTTTTTTATTACACTACGAGTAAGTCATCATTCAAGGTTCTAACCCCCACGTATGATACAATACCGGTATTACACCCGACCCCCGCAGAAAATAATCCTTCAAACGCATCCTACGGGATAAGCTTACAAACCCCGATCCGATTTCTCACTCACACAAGCAACACACCAGTGCCCGAACAATTAATTATAATTATTACAAAGCGGCTCAGCCCCCCCCCCATTCCACCCTAAGGTGTGGGGGATTTTAGAGAGGTACGATGCGGTACGGGTTATACCGTGTGATGGGATGAGAATTCTTCCGTAACGCCCCATATGGTCGTGTACAGTACTCACTAGTATTTGCCGAGAATACCTCAGTCGGCCGGGGGTTTATTTGGTGAGCAGATATCGGGTGGCGGAGGTATTCTTGGCAGAGACGAGTGAGTGAGTGCAGTATCCATACAGGGCCGCGAGTTGGCGGCCGGAGGGGCGTGCGGGTGGATCCCGGGCGAGGTATCATGATCGATTGAGAGGGGTTGGGTATTTACGATTTAGGAGTGGAGTGGTATCGTGGGTATCATAGAATAGGGGTCTTGGGGGGAGCGGGTTATCTCTTGGGTTCTGTGTTTCCCGGATGGTGAGTGGTGTGGAGATTGGGACCCCCGACGAGTGATTGGTTATGAAAGTTCGTGGATCGTGGTGATTGGGTCGGGGAGGGGGGGCAAGGTTAGTGGCGTGAACCTTTTTTGACAAGTGGCCTATGGGGACTCATTGGGGAGCGGGATGTAATGGGTGATTTTTTTGTGTTTTGAATTACGATACTGGTATTTGTTTCGCTCTAATTGCTCGGGGAAGTGGACGTTTCATGGGGTATGCATCCACTATACGCATATATCACTGCGAACTCTGGTATTCTCTAGATCGTGCGGTGTTGGAGTTTCGGGCACTTTCGTCACATGGGTGCCGTCTCGATGCTATTATGAAAGAACACTAATAATTCTCATTTGAAACACCACTAGTATGTGGTTTTCTTCATAAAGAGTAAAAGTCTTCGCTTTTTATTCCGGCCCGAAATATCCCCTACCCCCGTCCACCCATCCGTAATAGAAGAGAAAGTCCAGCAAGAATAAAAGTGGAAATAAGAGCCTAAACCCAAAACCCATCTCCCCCCGATTACCCACGGTTTAGATAAACGGAAGATAGAAAGAGCTCTATTCAAGTGCCGTTCGAATTAGCACCGTTCGGCTCAGCACCGTTTGCTGCGTTAACACCGTTGGTGCGGCTGTCGGTATTCCCGCTAGTGTGTCTGTTGGTAGTTGGGGTGGGGGTGGGGGCAGAAGTCAAATCGCCGTCATCATCGTCTCTAACCAAATCGACAGTGGCGCAGTGGAAAGATCCACCGATACTATGAACATGTCAGAAGGGACAGTACATGGGCTCCATCCCTTTAGTCTTGAGTCATTCTCCGAACTTTGTGTCATTCTCCTCGATGATGACTTTTCCGCCGGTGACGGAGAGAAGGTTCATAATGAGCCAGGCGCTGGCCATGAATAGTGGTGGCTCGGTGCTGTGCTTTGGCATGATGGGAAAAGGAAGGATTTCCCATCCCTTGAACACTTGAGGACTTGACAAGTTCTCGTGGGCGCATTTTCTCGGTTGGTAGAGTAGCAGCCCCCTGCGGAGTGCACAGAGTGTAGCATCGATGTGCATGGCTGAGGCGTCATTGGTCTCGACAATCTGAATGCCATATCCTTCTGGTAGACGTTCGCCTAGGTAATTGACACCTGCTATATTTGTGACATGGCTAAGCTGACCGATGAGTGTCTTTCCAACATGGATGAAGTCGGCGGTGTTGAATGCTAGGCGCGAGTTGTTGATGGCTAAGGGGGACTCAATTCCTTCATTATCGTCGTCGAAGATGGTATGATATCTCGACCTTCTGGAAACTCAGCTCTGAAAACCCAGACCCTAGAGTCCTTCTCTAAGTCGGCAAGGATATGGCCGAAATCGAGTTCGATTTCTTGCCTCCGGCAGCTCCATGAGTAACTTATGGAGCTTCAATCACATGGTTGCCGACTACCATAAGGACGTCTCTTCCCATAGAGCCAGTGTATCCTCCGACCTTGTTCCAGTCGACGTCCCGAGCTCTCTGGAATTTGACCCCCTCTTTTTCGAGGATCGATATGAGCTGGTCCAATTCGCGGTCTGCTGCCTCGAGGATATATTCGGGGTATGGGTTATGGGGCTCAAATTCATGGAAGAATTATTCGTACCTTATAGAGCGGGTGACTTTGTCGTTTTCGTAGGGGAACACAGTGCCCTTTGCACGTCCGATGATAATCAATCGGAGGCGGGACCATTCATTGCTTGAAGGAGCCATAGTTATGGGTTTTTAGAGGGCAGCTCACTGAAAATTTCCGAGTATTATATGAGTTCAATAGATGGTGTAGATGAGTGATGTATGATTATGGATCTAAAGGTGAGAGGAACTTCAGGGAGATTTATAGAGCTTGGCTCTCTCAAACGACAAATGGGACTTAGGCAACATGATAATCATCTGCTAAGATAGAGTTCTGAAAGACAGCAGGTAGGAGCCACCTTGCATGAGAACGAACCAATACTCTACTGAAAGCCCCACTGTGATCAGACTGTCCCGGAAAAGTGTTGGACCAACCTTAATTCCAAAAGCGTCGCTGTCGAGTGGATATGGGTGTAATAGTTTCTATTGGAACCATCCACGGAAATAATCATCTCACACGATCACAGACACTGTGATGATTACTCTGAAGGTACCACCTCCCGCTTAGCTAGCATCAACAAATGTAGAAGCGGGACTGACTTACCGAGTAACTGAGTAATTACAACCCTTACAGTTATCAATAGGCTTCCAGCAGAACACAGGTCTGAAGAACACAGATCGAGGATTTGCCACATTTTCTCAGTTCCATTCGGCATTGTCATAATACCTCACATTCCCTTCCAGTGTTAGAAGGGAGCTGACACTACTGGTCGTGCATCTCTCGTCCCCGCATCATTCCTACAATAGTAGAATAGATATCTCTGCGGTAACCTTTGCAGAGGCTTGGCTGATTCTAATGGACTGAATTGTGTTGCTTTTTTGGTCATGAGGTATGGGGGAAATCGATAACATAACATTATGACGATGTTGAGGTTCCCCACATCCCACCTCCGATGATCTTCCAAAATCTATATCAAGCACCTATCGTGGATAGGAGAGCCGTGAGCTTTTCGGAAGCGATCTCGTTTGTCAAAGAGATCATACGGAAACGGGACAACAAGCTGTAGTGACCCAATAATGTGCGGGAGAAGGACACATTAAGATCAGAGAATGGCCGAATTTGTAGCTATACCAACTATTACCGAGCATCTTAATCCAATAATGGAAAGAAAAAATAAAAGAAAAACTAATGACCTTCTTGCCTTGCTATTCAATATAGACTGCATAATGTTAGCTCAGGTAGGTTAAAGGCCGACGGCTCCCCCACTGTTTGAGCAGCACTAGGTTTTGCAATCCGTAAGTCAATGAGAGTCAGTGTTCCCAACGGGCCAGGCCACTGGTAGGCCGTCGGCCGGGCCAAGGCAGGCCACTATGAGGAATGGCCTAGGCCGATATAGGACGAATTCCATCAGCCTAAGGAAGCCTATCAGGCTTGGTGGGCGCCTATATGCCGGACCCTTGGCATTGAAAAACTGTTGTCATGGAAACCATGGTGTCAAATTTAGAAAAAGTTTCCCAAATACTTCGCATTTGGTTTCTTTCATTAAATTTTTTCATTGTTTTTTTTTTCTTCCTCCTAGGGAGCTTGTACGAGGTTTAGATTTGGTTCTCTCACGAGAATATGTGTGGCTACCTATAGTTTGCCAGGGGTTTTAACTTGTCCTTTCCACTAGAAATAAATCATTTGGAACAGGAGCTACTACCGGACCGAGTATTAATTCATGGAGAGAATTCGCTGGGCAGGTGAAAGCTTGGGAGAACACAAGTCATGTTGAACAGAAGTTAAAAAAAAGGGAAGCAAACATCTGGCTAAGCAAGCTTCAAAAGGCAGGTAGTACAAAGCCTATACAGCCTATCAGTAGGCCTGGCCAGGCCCGGCTCAGGCACCTCGAGGCCTATAGGTTCCGGCCAGGCTAGATCCTGAGGAATTCTCGTAGGCCAGGCCCGGCTTTCCTTCGGCCTGGCCTACCTGGCCCGTTGGGAACACTGATGACAGTCAAGATACAGAATTACCTTGTTGGTATCATATCATCGAAATTTGTGCCCTCACCCTTCTCTAGATGTCCTACCGGGTGGACTGGTTGCTGTGTAGATGGAAAGAAATGTGCAACTAGCAACATTTTGAGTTTTTAATTCTAAAACATTGTTCCCAGCGCACCCGACAATACTAGGAAGCGAATAGCATTTAAGGTGGGAGACTCAAGAAATTTTCCTTAAACCGAATTGTTGGGGAACAAGCTTATGCTAGTTTCTGAATGAGAGCATGCACCACACCTACGGCCACCCGGCACACTACATCCAAGGGGGAGTGTTCAACTCTTATGCCCAGTAGGGCACCTCAGAGAACTTTCATGGCGCAACCGATCCAACCCGGTTGGCAAGTCCAAATAAATTCAAGCCCCGTGGCGACTCAAGTCAGCCCCTTTTCGATGTTTGATATAATGCAATATCTAGTATTGATTCCATCTGTGGCTCGTACTCGAGAACTATAGAGTAGCCTGGCAGGTAACAGATTATCCCCAATAGACAATGCTTTCTTCCCAGTATCAAATAACAGTCTAGGTGCAACACGCGGATTTTATTTGTACCACAGACTGAGATCTTGTAGCAGTTCCCCCGGCACCTTCTCAGGTGCCTGTAACGTTTAAGCCAAAAAAAAAGGACGCAGCTAATGTTGCTGTCCCACCAGTTCAATTGGTAACTGAACTAGAAGCAATCTCCAGTGGTTGGCTCAAGTCAGCTCTTTTTTTCAACGCATACTGCCCAAACGCCTTTACCAACCCAAGATATTATATCCCTGAAACCAGTGCCTGCAAGTGCCCAGCTTCCATGCCCCAGGTTTTCTCCGACTAATCCGATTCTCGTCGCTTTGGGGTAGAACCGGCACTTCCCTTTAACAATGGAAGACCGAGTGCTAAGTCTCTTGAGTATTTCGCTGGTGAAACTTTCTCTCCATCACCTTTGATCAGAAGCTCCCGATGCGATCTTTGGAAAATGGTTCTGGGCAGCTCTACACCACACAGGATTGGCGATAGATGAAAGGTACCGGCCATGGGTGGGAATCCAAAGTTCTAGCACACGCTCTATAGAACCCTGATAACTACTTACTCGAGTAGTATATGCCCAGTCCTTCGAGTCCTAGATCAATACTAGTGATTATATAACTTGTGTGTTAAAAAGAGCTGTTGCATGATTGAGCACTGAAACCCGGAAATTCGTCCCCAGGAAGCTAACCAATCAAGAGCAAATCCGAGCCCTAGCGGCGACCCTGTGAAGGTCGGAACTTAGCTGTATGCCCTAAAATTCAGGTGCTCCTTCGCCCCTTGCTTGTAACCAAATTAATGCCGGTGTTGGCTGTATGATAATTATTATTATGGCTAGTAATTGGGTTTACAAAAAGGGTTCAAGTGTGATAATATCCTACCTCCCCAACCTCCAATGTTCTTGACAGGCTCGGGCGATATGATATCATAAAGTGGGTTGAATCCCATAAATACAGTATTCCTAATCACACCAAGCGCAAGAGTTGCAGTCACGGGGAAGATTTGCTTCTGGAAGGCATAGTGCCGTATAGTTGAGGACTCCCTATTTCAACTTTGGCCAGAAAAACTGATGATTGACACCGTACTCGTACTGGCGCCAAAGTGTATAGTATCTTGCTACTTCTGCTTAATACACCGCAAGGGAACCGAGCCGTCAGATCCCACTGCACGCCGGGACCGACATTAAGGCGCTTCAAGCAAAAACGCAGATCCATAATACCAATTTTTTCTTTCGGGTTTGCAGGGCCTAAGTTTCCGAATATAAGGCACGCGCTCGAGTACCAGTGTATGTGCCGTTCAGCAAAGCTCTGCGCCGGACGGCCTAACCAAGTGTTCATAAAAACTCTTGGTTCTTCTCCCCCGGGTCCATTGACATAAGCGCTATCAGTGCTGCGCGCAAGGTGTAGAAATGCCTATTCCTCGGATGACTCTTATCCCACCGTACTCTAGAGAAAATGCCGAACCTATCTGTCAAGCGTAGGAACACTCTACGGGATTTTCCAATCTCTCTCCAGAACTTTGTGTACCCAAGCTCAAGTCAAACCACCGAAACAAGATATGATAGGCTGCCGGCAGCAGATGGACCCGGAGAGTGGTACTTTTGCTAGTACCGGCAGTATTAAATTTGGAACGATCCACCTGTGTTCTCCACCCCACATATTCCGACATTCCCACTTCACCGGTCGATGAGCAGGGGCTCAAACTCGAGCACCTATACGTGAGGCGTCTTGACGCCTTTTATCCAGGGGTAAGTTAGGCAAAAGGGACAGATCTCTGTTATTTCATAAAAGATGATCAAAAATTCTATAACGCTTATTGAGCCGTGGTAGATAAGAAAAGGTTTAATACCCACAATACTTGTACGCAAATCTAGAAGCGATAGTGTTAGATTTCATAGAAGAGCAATCAAATATCATTGGTTTACCCGCTCACAGTGAGAAGAGCCCCCGCATAGGACAGTGCAGGCCATGGGTTTCAACAACCCAATCTTCAGCCCTCAGGAAGTGATGCAGATGCCACTACGAGTATATCTCTAGTGTGCTTCAATTTTAGAAATTGAGCCAGATATGATACTGGAATCTGGAGAATCTCAACTTTATAGGCGTTGCAGGGATCTCCCGATCCAGGAACCAGCCCAAACAATCCTGCCAAGGCCACCCTGGTCAACCTTCCATCCCCTAACCCTAGTTTCACACCTCCCTTCTCCCCCGTTCCCAAACTTTCAATCTAACCTCACACCTCCGAGATCCCAAAATATACCGACACATACTACCACAGCTGTGAATCAAACCAGCCTCACTCTCTCCCACCCTACCGGCCAACCATGGCACCACTTTTCCGCCTCCTCCTCCCTGCTCTCCTCCCCTTATTCCCAACCTTAACAACGGCCTGGACCGACCTCTCGGACGAAACCCTTGCCCGACTGCCAAACCCCTCGGACACGGACTTCGATATAACCTCTGGCGCCCTCCTCTCCCCAATTCTAATCCCGCGCGTTCCCGGCACCGAAGGCTCGCTGAAGGTGCTGAGCCACTTCCAAAACTTCTTCGCAACGAAGCTGCCGGACTGGAAGACGTCAACGCAGAACTCGACGGCGACGACTCCCACCTCAAATGGGGCGGAGATACCGTTCGTCAACTTCTATGCCACGCGGGACCCGCCATGGGCTGGCGGGGGGGACGTAGGCCGGTTAGTACTAGTAGCGCACTACGATTCCAAGAGTACCCCGGAGGGCTTCATCGGCGCGACGGATTCGGCGGTGCCATGTGCTGTGCTGATGCACGCGGCACAGGCGGTTGACGAAGCACTGACGAGGAAGTGGGAGGACATGCGGGCGAAGGGACTTGCCGGCGATGGATTGGGAGACGGGGACGGGCACGAGGACGCTTACCGCGGTGTCATGATCCTATTCCTAGACGGGGAGGAGGCATTTCACTCTTGGACTAACGAAGATTCCCTATACGGCGCCAGGTACCCCTTCCCCCCCTCACTCTGTTCGGAATTGAGCTAAAGGAGAGCCCCCAGAAGCCTAGCAAAAACCTGGGAATCCACCCCGCATACTGTCCTTTCCCAACGCAAGAACCACATCTCAAGCATAGACCTCTTCCTCCTCCTCGACCTGCTAGGCTCCAAATCACCCACTATCCCCTCCTACTTCCCCACAACCCACTGGGCCTACACACACATGGCAACGCTGGAATCCCGTCTACGCCGGCAGAACCACTTCCTCTCGCACGAAACCTCGCCCAACCCATGGTTCTTCGAGCCCAAGAAGGGGAAGCGCTTCAACAGCATGATGATTCAGGATGACCATATCCCGTTCCTGGCTAGGGGGGTAGAGGTATTGCACGTCATACCCTCCCCGTTCCCGAGGGTCTGGCATGTCCTGGAGGATGATGGGAAGCATCTAGATATGCCCACCGTTAAGGACTGGGCGAGGCTTACTGCCGCGTTCTTGGCGGGGTGGCTGGGGTTGGAGGGGTTTGTAGAGGCGCCGTTGGAGGTTATACCTGTTGGTGGTCGTGCCGGGGAGGCGGAGGACGTTACGTCTGGGGCTGTCAAGGGACGGGGTGTAAGGTTGAAGACTGAGCTTTAGTAACCATAGCCCCGGGGGCGGGGAGGTGGGGTTTCCGACTGTTTTCTTGTGAGAGGATGACAGAAATAGAGATTCGGTGGCGTAATGTTTCTCATGAAATGAGGAGGTAAAGTCCATCTTGAAGATTGACATGACACAAGACATGAAGGAAGTGCATATCAAGATTCTTGTGCCACCCCCCCTCTTTCACTTTTTTATTTTTTCATTACAGCTCAATTTATACTATCACGACAATGTACCTAATAACACATTCAGTCCCTTTTTTTCTTCTTCCCCATTCAACGTATCCCCCCAACCCGCCCCCCCTTAAGAATCACTTCGTAACAATAGAGATAACATCCTCATCAGCAACTACATGTCCCAACCCAACCCTTTGCGGCACATGCCGAGCGCTAGCGCCCCATACAAGTGCGTACTTGAAGCTCTCCTTGAGACTGCGATGCACCTGATCACAGACGTCCTCCACTGTCGCGCCCTGCCGCACGATCAGGGCTTCGGAGAAGTTGGGCTGCACACCCCTGCGCTTTGTGTAGATGCGCATTAGGTTCAGCTCCTGCCAGGCGCGGTCCACAACGTCGGTGATGCCCAGGTCCAGTTCACAGGACATGACGACGGTGTGGTCCTCGTGCGCGAGTTGGTCGAGGAATTGCATGCTTATGCAATCTATTTTGTTATAGACGTAGAGGCTGTATTAGAGGTGTTAGTTTTGGGAGTAGAAGGGAAAGGGAGGGGGAGAGCACCATTTTATGTAGCGGCGGTGAGGGGCCATGATTACATCTATGAAATCGTCGACAGTTGCTGGATTTGTTAGCTTTTTGACATAAGAGATGGAGGGGGAGCGGTACCATTCTCATCTCGAATTAACACCTCGCAATTGAGCATTTTGTAGTCCCTCAAAATGTTATATATCATCTACAAAACCACCCAATTAGCCCCCCACCCAGCCCATATTCACGAAGAACATATCAGACAACCTTCTCATCCAAATACTTGGGCGTGCTCATAAAACTCAACTTCATCCCACCTGCCTTCTTCGCCTTGAGGTAAATATTCGGTGGCTCCCTATTCAACCTAATACCCACCGCCTCTAACTCCCTCTCCAGCAGCGCCCTCTGTTCCGCCTTCTTCGTAGCGTCCAGCACCATCATTATCAGATCACTAGTCTTCGCAGCCGAGATGACCTGTCTCCCCCTCCCCTTGCCTTCCGCCGCGCCCTCGATAATTCCAGGAAGATCCAGGATCTGTATCTCGGCGCCGCCGTACTCGAGCACGCCGGGGATAGCGGTGAGAGTCGTGAAGGAGTAGGCCGCTACCTCGGACTTGGTCTTTGTGATTTTGGACAAGAGCGTGGATTTCCCGACCGATGGAAAGCCGACGAGGGCGATCCGGGCATCTTGGTGATATCATATCAGTTCAATCGTATATTTATTTGTTTGTTTTCCCTCAGAAGGGTTACTGGAGGGGAAGAGGTGAGTACCGCCGGATTTAGATACGTCGAAACCGGTACCTGCTCCTGCTCCTGCTCCTGGCGCTGGTTCTAATAGCTGCGCACGGAGGCGCGCGAGCTTGCCTTTTAGCAGCCCAAGATGGTATTCTGTTGCTTTGTTCTTTCTATATTGTTAAAAGATGTGCTTTGTCAGTGAAGTAGCAGGTGGTGGGGAAAGTATGCAAGGAAGGAAGAATACTAACTGAGTCCTCCGCATCTCCTCCTCAATTTCCTTGATTTTCTCGCTGACGCCCATGGTTGCTGATTTTTGTTGCTTCCGCTGCTTCCAGAGTTATGTACGGTAGGTGTAGTTGCGGTGTAGTTAAGGTAAGGCTGTTTGTTGTCTACGGCACTAGTACTTGACGGTCGAGTTTAGATGCGGGATAAGGGTTTGGCGGGGCAGGAATTTTGGCCCAAGTATGATATGATACTCTTGTGGTCTGTGCTTCGGTTCTTTCTTGGCGGGGTGGTGGGGTTTCACTTGATTATGATAACTAAGAGAAAGACCCTGGGCTGTGATATTGGTATCATATTACTTGTAGGGAAAAATCAAATCACATCGGTTCTTAAATCCTATCACCCCACTCTTACCGATACGATAATAATATTATAATACCTGCATCTGGTGCACAAAAGAGATCCCAGTATAATTAATTAGATAGGAAGGCCATTGTTTCTAGACAAATCCAACCAACGAGGCACGACTTATATAGAAACACCGCAATCTCAAGAGCCATAGGGAAGAAAAAAATGTAGGATAGGACTGAAGATGCCCAAAGCAAGAGCATAAAAGGCACAAATATAAGAGGGACAACACGGTATATACACCCCCCGATACTTTTTTTTTTGCCACCTATGAACCTCCTCCACTCTCTCCCTCCCTCCTTCCAAACGCTGCTCTAAACTGTCTCCCGTTTTGATAATTTTCTGTATGAACTGTTGAGTTTTCAATTCTCATCATCAACAACAATCACCCATAACTTGCACCGGCTAGTACTACCTCTAGTAATTAAAAAAAAAAAAAAGTGAGCAAAGGGGAGAGGGGCCAGGGGGAAAAAAGCGACTAATAATAAAAATACCAAGTGTTGCAACAGAAGATAAAGCGATAGGAAACAAAAAAAAAAAGCGGAGTCCGAATGCTCCTCTCCCTTCAAAGACGAATTGTTCCCCAATCGATGTAGGATATGGCCGATGTGCCCTCCGTTCCGCTCACCGCGCAATGCCAGTTCCGTTTGTATCCATAGGAGTTATCCCGCCACGCCTCGATGTCCCCAGCCTAGAACCAACAGCGCTGTCCCCACCCAAGGCCATTTCGTCCTCATCAGCACTCTCTTCCTCCCCCTCACTGTCCTCCAACCCTTCCTCCTCGCTACTATATTCAACTTCCTCGTCCATTGTTGCCCCAGACTTTGCCGTTTCATCCAACAAAGATACGTCCTCTGGGCGACTCCTCAACCAACCCATCCTTGGCCCACTACGCGCTCGCTCCGATACACGGAATCCATAGATGCGCATCTCGTATTGCTTCCCTCTTCCTAATCCGGGCGCAAGGTTTGCAGCCAATACTCCGTTGATAGATGGAGCGCTGGCCTGGCTTACACCTTTCTTACCACCCACAGAATTCAGACTGGTGCCAGACAAAACCTCCTTGCGGCCATTGCCAGATGTATCCAACTCTGGGAAAGTCATTAAAAATAGCGAGGCAAATGTAGTTCCGAAATAAGCACCATCAACCGTCTGGAACCGGGAGTTTGGCGGAACGTAGATATCGCAGCACGATGGACAGAAAAGTTTAACCGTCTCTACGCCAGGAGTGTCCGAATATCCACAGGGAAGAACTCGGGCTTGGATGCAGTACACTCGTGGACAAAAACCAAAGTGATTGGCCAAATATTTGTCGTACATCATCTGAATTCCTTGACGGGACGTGATGAATCGCTGATGGATAAGGCCATAAAGAATTTCTGCGGATGATTCGATGACAGATAAATCTGAGGCTACTCGCATATGAGCAGAGCGACGACGGTAGGCACCCCCTTGAGCGCCGGTTTGCTCGGACAGTGATTCGGATGCGGATCCCTGACTGTCGGAGTCATCTTCAGGCTCCACATCGAGTATCATTTCCAAAGCTTCTTTATACCTAATTAAAAAAATAAAATGGTTAACCCGCAATCCTAAAAGAGTGAAAGCATAAACAAGCAAAAAAAGGGACGAAGAAATGTCGTGCTTGTTCAAAAGCAGCCATGATAACGGAATGGAAAAGGGGCATAGCATCGCTCTGTAGCGGGTAAAAAAAGGCAGAAAAAAACAAACGAATAAGTAATCAAGACCACTCACATAGGAACCATCTGGCCAAGGCCAGTCAAATTGAAATCATCCTCAATGAAATCCTCTGTGACCTCAGCAAAGTATTCATGTCCTAGCATGGAACAAAAGTTGCCGATCCAGGACTCTTCCTCCTCCATATCGTCTTCCTCTTCCTCTTCCTCTTCCTCTTCCTCTACTTCCGAAATTTCTTCCTCTTCAGACGCAGATTGGCCCGACGAGTGCGAATGAACCGGAGAGGCTTGAAGAGTGGTAGAGGTAGGATGTTGGGGAGGGGAACGTGTTTGGGCTAGATTCATCGATAGATATGCACACACGTGCGGAGGGAGGTGCATGTCAGCCTGGGTTGAGAAGAGAAAAAAGAATACACTCGGCGGCGGGGAGAGGGGGGGCAAGCCTGGCAAACACAAGCCAGGAAGAAAAGGAGAGGGGCGGATGGATGGACGGATGGACGGAGGGGTAGGCAGCAGTTGTAGAAACACAGCAGAAGCATGACCAAAGGCAACAACAAAAGATGACAGGGGTGGGGGGGGGCTAAGGGCTTGGGGGAAAGGCGCACCGTATCTTCCCGCCAACTCGACGTTCTTCAGTCTTCCACTACCAAGGGCAGCAGAAGAACTATTATCTCCGTCCCTTCTAAAGTAGTCTCTAAACTCGTCTCTCTTCACAATTCCAATTTCCCGGCGCACAAGACCAGTGGGAACTTGACCTCTTCCTTGTTTATCAAGAGCTCCGCTTCTTCGGTAGAGACCAGCGCTTCTTAGGGCCGCAAGATTGTAGAATTCGTCGTTATCCTCTCCGTCTTCCCCAAGTGGATCCGGAATAATGGGTGGGCAAGCGTAAGGTGTTGTAACGGTTGTAGTTGTGGCAGAGGTGGAGGCTGTTGCAACAGCTGATGCGGCTCGTGTGTATGTTCGCGAGTGGTCGTCGCCGTCTTCGGGAACGAGCAGGTCAGAACCAGAGTGTGTTGGATCCTCCGCAACGAAAGCTCCCCCTGTCACAGATGATACAAGTAGTGGCACTTCCGAGCCTTCGACCCTTACAGATCCCACCCGTTCTCTTACAGGGCCCTGTTTGTGGGCCGGAGAAGAGTGCAGATTAGTCGAGTGGCCGAGTAAGTTTGATTGTGATTGTTGGTGTCGTTGTTGCTTCCTGGCCTCCGACTGTGGTGGCGGGGTCGGTGGAGAGTCGGGGGAATCGGGGAGCGGTTGATAGTGGCGAGCGTCCGGGTAGTTTAGGCCCAGCTGCTCTCGATTGTTGTCGGTACTCGTGGGCGGCGGGGTTTGTGGCATTCAGCGAGAGGGAGTTTTTTGGAGGTAAATTGTGACGCTGCTTTCTTCCCTTCTTTCCTTTTTCCACTGAGATAGTCAAAGGTATCGTACAAAAAAACACTATGATATTACAGGAATTCCCCACTACCGATATGTTATCGAACCCTCTTTTCTTGTTCCGCCTGTTTTCTTTTTTTTTTTTCTTCACAACTTTTTGCCGCGATTATCAGTCACTGTCCTAACGGCAGAAGCGACGGAAAGCCCCGACCTTACCAGTCAAGTGAGATCAACCCTCTCCCCTTCACTACCCTTTTTGCAATGAAATCAAAACCAATGCAAGGGAGGTCAACAGATATATGAGGGGGGTAGAAAGACGTGAGTGTTGGAATCAGCAATAGAACGATGGCCTGGACGAATTGACGGGGCGTATTTCTAATGGGAGCGAAGGAGGTGTATGTAAATACTGACGGAACCTGCACGAGAGGGGTGTTGAGTATGGTGGGATATGTGAGCACGGTGTGTGCTACCCTTTTCCCCTCTGGCCTCTTTCCGTCCCTTACTGTCACAAATTAGGAAAAGAAGGATGGAATCAGGGGCGAAAAAGCGGCGCAGAGGTATGGTAATGAGATGGAAGTGAGTGTGCGTGATGACGATAAAATTGATGGGGGGAAGGAAGGGTGGGATAAATTCTACAACAAATACAGTAAGATTGGGAACGAAGGATGGCCTAATACAGCGAGGGAAGTGGAAGAATAAAGGCACAGAAGCACACCCAGATTGAGCGCTGTACAGGACCGGTACCGGTACTGTACAGTACTCGAGTAGAGAGACCTTTGCAGCCACAAAGAGCACCACCGGGCGCCCTGATTGCAGTCTTCCATTACAAGCGCTCGAGTACAGCACGGTACCGGTACCGGTACTCTTGATCTCCCCAGATCAAAGTTTTTCCCCGACCCGCAACCAAGGGCCCAAGTAGTGTTCCCCGATCCAATCTTAACCCTTCCTGTTCCTCCCAACCTTTCCCTGTGCTGGGCCCTGACTGGCTGGGACCCTGTACCGGTAGCTCACAGTGTCGCTAACCCAGATCTCGATACGATCAAGACCCCCACAATAACAAACATGAAGAATTTTGTGATTGGATGGAATAGAGGATCCACATTAAACCACAATACTCGAGTATAACTAAACCTTCAACAATTCACTATTCTCCAATCTATTATCACAGGAAACCGGGTGAAAGAAATAGGTTGAATGCAGCGCTGCCACTACAGTACGATCGTACAATATATTGCCCGCTCATTTCCCCCTGCCGGTCAACAACTCACGGGGTATTAATTATGATTTCTACTCGAGTATGATACAAGTTGCCGTTAGACATTAGCAAGTAGGGTGGGGTTAGATGACTCAACCTGTCCGTGTACTGTACTCACCCATATCCATAGTAGTCTAACTTGTGTCGCTCACATGCTCCCGATCGAGCATCAAGCAACTATCATACCGGTATCATACACGCGATCCACCCATAGCAACCCACCCACGTTGCTACCGGTATGCCACACCTCTCATCGTGAGACACAACACTCACATAAACCCATCACCACCACCGCGAACCAATACACAAACCATGCCCACAAAAGGCCCTCCACGAGCTCCAAAACCACTCTCCAAAACCACCATTACCTCCTCCTCCTCCTCAAAACTCTCTAAAACCCCCTCCAACTGGCCCCCCGAAATAATCTATCTAACCCGTCCCCGCCTCAGCAGATCCCTCCCAGCCGAAGCCCTCACTCACCTCTCCCTGTCCCCCACTAGTCCCCCGTCCATCCCCTCCACCCTGGTCAGAATCCGCAAAATCACTGACCTAGCACATCCAGCATTCGGCCAACTCGGACTCTTCGCCGCGAAAACCCTCCCCGCACGCTCATTCATCTTGGACTACCTAGGCTACGTGCATGACGACAACGACCTAGATGAGTCGTCGGATTACGACCTCTGTCTGGACAAGGAACTACATGTTGGCGTGGACGCGCGCAGCATGGGAAACGAGGGAAGGATGGTTAACGACTATAGGGGGGTTCCAGGGCTTGTGAGGGCTAATGTTGTTTTCGAGACCAGAAGGATCGGCGGTGACAATGAGGGGGAGGTTAGGATGGGGTTGTGGGTTGGGAGTAGAGATGTGAAGAAGGGGGTTGAGCTGTGTGTTAGTTATGGGAAGGGGTTCTGGAAGGAACGGGTAGGGGAAGTGGAGGATTTAAGCTTAAATTACTCGAAAAGATGAGAAGTTATCATACGAAACGAGTAGTATGATACCGATTGTGCTAACGGAGTTGAGTATCAAGTCAGGCTATGGTAGGGCGGGATGGTAATCATCACGTATAATATTATGATACAAAGGTCTTGTTAGGCTCACACCCCATTTCATCGAAACAAGACACAAGGGTATACAGTAATAACCATAAAAACAAAATGGAAAAGCTTGATTGAACCTCACCACCAGGATAAACATATTTCCGAAAGGGAAAGGTTTACCCAGTACAATACCGGTTACCCGGCACTTCCCCATCCCCTCCTTCACTTCCGTTTGTCCGTCCATCCACCCGCCCCCTTGCTTCCCCATAACTTAAGCCAAAAGCACCAAAATCCAACCCATCCCATCCATCAAAGTCACGAAAAGCGCCCCGCCCCAAAAAACCAATACCCACAATCAAACAACCAAACGCCAAAAAAAAAATGGCAACCTTCGCCACAGGTCTCTGGAACTCCATCTTCACACCGGGCACCAACTCCTCTCTTGTGCTAGCAACGCACGCCTCCTTCTTCGCGCTGCAGGTAACCTTCCTCGCGCTCCTGGCCGGCACGCACAGCTACCACTTCATCATCTTGAGCTTCATCTGCGCCGGTCTGTGGATGGGGATAACGTGGTTCATCCGGGAGATTGATATTTTGAAGAAGGAGCAGGAAGAGGTTAAGGAGAGGCTTGGCGTGGATATGCGGCGGAAGGTGAAGGGGGGGGAGTAATGTTTTTGTGTTGTTGGGGATGGTGTTTGCTTGTTTGTTTGTTGGTGTGGTGGCAATAGATTTGTTATCGGGGGTGCGTGTAATGGGGCATAATGTTGGGTGGATTGATTGTTAAAGCGTGGGAATCTACAGTAGACTACATTTCTTCTGGTCCGCAGGTGAATGCCGGTGGTTTGTGTTGCGAGATAATTTTCGTTATTAAACACTATAAGTTTTTCCCAGTTCATATTCCCCAATTTTAATTATTATCTCAACAAAAAGCAACATGGCGCAGCGGAAGCGCGCCGGGCTCATAACCCGGAGGTCGCACGATCGAAACGTGCTGTTGCTAAGTCATCTTTTTTGCGCCTTTGGTGTGGTCGGTGGGTGTTCGAGCCGTTGTGTTGGTACGACTTTTTTTCTCATTATGATACCTGCTTCTATGGGCGGGGTTGAGGGCGGGAACAATCTTCTCGCCTTTGTGTCGGACGAGTGAGTCATGGTTTGTGGTTCGGTTTCGGTTGGTTGGTTGATTACTTTCTGTATATGGGCGCAGTTCTGCGAAAGATGAGAAAATTGATTTTTTATCGCTTTGAGTTGAAGGCACTTTTAGTTTGCATCGTAGCAACAACGGACATCTTGAGAAAAAAGCAAAAATGTTTGTCACAACACTATAGATTCTGTACTAACAACAAATTGCTCCCTCAAAAATATTTGAAAATCTGTATACAGATACACAAGGGAGTAGGCTAATGTTCTAAAAAAAAAAAAAAAAAAAGTCTTTTCTTTTTTTTTTTAATAAAATTTGCAGATTCATCATTATATGTCCATTTCTACTCCGGTTCTAAAATTAAATATATTTCAAACAAATAACAGGGTGCTCTATCAGGTATGATACCACAAGCTCAGAATTATTCAGTGTGATTTGTGGCTGTTGGCAATTTCCACCTTTTCAGGAGAAATACACCCATATTACTATTTAGTACTGTGCTGTACCTATCACTCGGTACGCCTGAAAACCGCCATCTCAAGAATTACGGAAAGACAGTGCTAGGACGTTGAGGGGTGGTGGGGGGGGGAAGGCAGGCAAGTTGTCACTTGTACAAAGCAAGAATATGCAGAAAGTGTCTGTGAATTGTAAAGTTCCCCCCTATCAGCTCACTACTAGTATACCGGTATGACAATTTAACGATGAACTGTACAAAGAACCCTCCACCTATTTCGACACCCTTAGGATGTAGGATTCAAACTGATTATCCATACTTACTAAATGGTGAATCGAAATTGACCCGTGAAGGTGCGCTTTGGCATTCACGAGTTCCAACCCCCATCGTGGTACGCACACGGAAAACCACTAGTAATATTAACATTATTATCAACGGTAGAGTACGATACAGTACTCCTAGGGTCACAAAAGAGGGAGATGGTGCTCCGTCGATAGAAATACTAGTAATACGATTGAATTGAGAAGCAGGACTCGGGTGGGACAGAGGTCATGAGTCCGAGTATGGTAGATCACTAAGATAAAAGGAACCTCTACGCTGCTAGATTAAACCACACCCTTCAATCCCGCCACAAGCTCCCAGCCTTGATCAAATCCGCTGCCTGCAGTGACCACGTTAGCCTCCTCACACACGCTACTCCACCCGACATACACCGAAAACTCACCTTCTCAGCAACAGCATAAATCGTGGACTGCACATGCGCAGCTGGGATCAACGGCTGCACACTAGCATCCACAACCCTCAAATTCTTCACTCCATAAACCCTCAGGTCCTTATCCACGACCCCACCAAGTTCCCTCTTCATCATAGAACATGTGCCCGTCATATGATACATATAGCCAGATCCATCCCTGATCGCCTTCTCGAGCTGCTCGTCCGTGTTCACTTCCGCTCCGGGGAGCACCTCTACGAGTCCCAGCTCTCGCATTTCGTGTGTTGCAATGATCTTGCGAGTGTACCTCAGCGTTTCTATAAAGATTTTGGTATCGAGTGGGTGAGAGAGGTGCCCGGTGTTTATGGCTGGTATTCCGGCGAGGAGGGAAGAGGAGGTTGTTGTGACGGTGCCGCGGCTTAGGGGGTGCATTACCGAGAGGATTGCGCCACCTTCACTAAACCAGAGCATTTCTGTTGCGGCCATTTTGGGGGTAGTCAGGTGGCGGAGGAGGATTTTGAGTTGAGCTTGGTAGCCCTTGGATATGCTCGTGTCCCGGTAGGAGGTCTCACTGGGGGTTTCGAGGAGGCTGTGGAGGTTATCGGAAGTTATGTCTGAGAGGGGGAGCATGGCTATCATGTTTGATGCGCCTCCATTGGTAAAGGGACCTAATTATGGGTTTGGATCATAATTATGAGATTAGGAAAGATTAGCTCAAAAGTGATGAGACGCTTACCATCACGTTTAGCTTTGTATAACTCGTACATTTCGTTGTAGAAGGTTGTATTAGTGGTGAGGTTTGCCGCTGAGAGGGAGACATTTGTCACTGGATAGGTTAAATAGTTAGTTTCTATTTACCTTACAGTCACTCGGCAAAAGCTTTCGTGACACGGAGTTTCCCTTCGACGGAGATCACCATGGCCCAAGGTGGGGAGGGGGTACCGGACCTGACTATTCACAAAGTGTCCGGATGTCTTGGTGCCAAGATGTCCAAATTTATACCAAAAGGCGCCAACCTTGGCATCGAGGCATCCGGATACTTTATGAATTGTCAAGGATTGCGCCATTGGGGCCTGTGTACTGGAGTGGCCCGTTCCGCGGGCAAAGGGAAATTCTGTCTCACGAGTGCTTTTGCCGAGTGGATCCGGGATATCGCACGACACTAACTTTGATAGAAGGTGGCAATATAGACATGACCCTGTAGATTAGCACCCACACCCGGGAGATCAACGACTACCTCGATTCCTAACGATTTGAGAAGACTCGTCGGGCCAATCCCGGAAACTTGAAGGATTTGAGGACTGAAGATCGAACCGGCAGCTAAAACAGCCTCTCTTTTAACCTTGACGTGCTTCTTTGGGGCTCCCACTGAGCTCGAAAACTGCAGGTGCTGTAAGTCACGGCTTCCCCTAGTTACAAACCGGGCAAAGGCTATACCTCTACAGCATCGACTCTAATTCTCTCATCTCCGGAAGTCAACAACTTAGTAACAGTGGTTTCGAGCAGGACATGCAGGTTCGGTCGGTCTCGTGCACCATCGTAATATTCTCGCGAGAAGGAACGGGTTTGCGTATCAGGGTTTGACGAGGATGGCGACCAGAATAATTGGAGAGCACCTCCATTCGCTGGGTCCTGCGAGACGGAGTGTCCGAGGCTTTTCATAGCTCCGATCCAGTTTTCTGACGCGAAGAAGAGTCAATAGTGATCAACGTGATCTCTAGTGTCAAGCGTTCGTACTCAACTGAGGCCAGAGAAAGTTTGGAAAACTCGAATGTATAAACCCCGTGGATCCATGTGCAGACTCGTCATAAGTAATCCCAAACTCCTCCACCAGTTTCTTAGATGGGGCTGTGAAATTTTCAGACTGTATGTGCAGAGATATAAAGTCAGCGCTTGATATAAGGTTTCCTTCCACCATAAAATGACCTGTACCTTTTCGAAGTACTTTGTCAGCGACTTGAAGTTCCATCCTTCATTCCCCAGCTCTTCCCAGGCATCGTAATCCGAGGGGGCTCCCTTTGCGAACTGCATCCCGTTGATAGAAGACGTGCCCCCCAACACCCTCGCCTGTGGCATTATGATTGTTCTATTTCCCAGCGATGCAGTCGGCACAGAGGTAACATTCCAATCATATTTAGTTCCAAAATTCTTGTATCCACGACCCAGATACGGTATTTTGAAATCTTCAGATCCATCATCCCTAGCGGGCGGACCAGCAACAGTTTACTTAGTTATTACTGCATAAGTTAACCCCCTTCTCCCGGAGAAGCCGAACTCACATTGGTCCAGACTCAATCACCAGAACGGTTTCTAAATGCTGTGAATTAGCACTAGGGCAGTAGCTACGCGTTCAACGGATGTACGAGGCAAAGTTAACCTACTAGAGGAATCCTCCGAAAGACGATTGGCAACGGCCAGGCCGCTGGTCCCACCTCCTATAACAACATAATCGTATGCAGCCAAGATTTGATTCTCAGATACGAATCGTGGAACGAACGGTATGGAAGTCACGATAGCTGGGAAAAGGGCTGTTAAAGCACAGAGCGCACCGAATGTTGAGGCCATATTCGCTTTATAATTTCCCCGGCGGCAGCGGTCGTTCGTCTCCAGTTGTGGTTGAATTTGCGGGAGGCGAAGCTGCGTGGACTGTTGAAGAGAGGGAAACCGAGGGCAGGGTGGAAGGATAAAAGAGGATCTCTTGACTCGATTCCGCACAAGGCTTTGTGGAGCGGAATCATGTGAGAGTTTAGGAGCTTTATAGCACAGGAGATGCCAGAGTGGAAAGCGGGAGAATCGTCCTCCGAAGACTCACTCACAATGTACCTCCCTGCCATTTCCATTGTTACTGTTGGCCTGCGAGTCGCGCTCCCTGCTTTGGAACGAATTCCTGATGGCTCACAAGAATTGCACTGGTACGAGTACATCGTACTGGAATTACAAGTACAGTACCCTACCAGTATAATTTGGTTATCTCAGAATACGGTTATCGTTACACAACCACCCAACCAACAAGCGGGAAAAAAAAGAAAGAAAACCCCTATAAGCACCAATTGTCCGATATCAGTGCTTACCGTCATGCCAGGCACGAGTAGGGAAGGTGAAATCTGCATCAATACCGGGGCTGAGGGAGATTTGCAAGAAAGTTGCCCCAAAGGGCCGGGTTCCGACGGTAATTGCCACAGGGCGCAGTTTTTGCCAAGACTTTTTACATTTTCGAGGGAAAGAGTTTCCCTAATGAAGAAGTTCACCCTTACCGGTACTCGTGCGTCTCAGCCAAGAATCGGTTTCCCCGTTTGTGGTAGTGCGTTCGGGCTGGTACAGTACTGTACAGTACAGTACGATACAAGTACTTTTCCACCAAAGAAGTATAGTGGAGAACTTGAAAATCTGTCTTGCTGTTTCTTTATTCACCTGAAGGCAGACTGACCACTGTTCAAAGGTCATTCATTCCTGAGCACACATGAAGGGAAAAAATAGTGTCTTTGATTGATGCAGAAAGGCTCTTTCTGCCGGGCATTATTGAACAGATGAAATGATGGTGAACTTTCTTATATGTTTTGAGGTCACGTACTAGTTGTGTAATATTAGTACACTATACGAGTACTTTGGTGGAAAAGTACCGTCCCACACTCACTACCACAAATGGGGAAACCAATTCTTGGCTGAGATGCACGAGTACTGTACCGTACTCTCCTATTGAACCACACTTTGTTGGACGCCCTAGTGCCATTTCCCGTCCGACCATGCTACTGGTAGGCGGTACAAATGATCAAGTACCGTAATGCCAAAGAGCCTGTTTGCATGATTTCAAATCATGACTATCTCAAGAAACACACGGCGGGCCGAAGGCGCTCTTATAATTACCGGTACCCTCGAAGCACGGAACCGCGTGCCGGTATCAAGGTTAAGTCTGTCGAACCCCATAGTTGGCCCATTTACCTCTACCGATAAAATCGCTCCGGGAGATACTCAAGTATGATATCATATGATACCTGTATCATCCTCCCAGACCTACTCGAGTAATTTCACTCGCACCCTAAGCACTAGGTTAGGGACCCATTAACGAGAACAGGTGGGTATGAATGATATCTATTTGGCTAGTTGGGTTCAGATAACCGTTCCATAACTTCGTGCTGAGTCTTGTACTCGTGCTGTTCTGGAGAACGGTGCACGTTCCTGTGCAATCCCACGACATGGATTACTGGCTGGTTAACCTGAGTTCACTGTCCACTACGGTAACGAGATCGGGGAGCACCTGTCAGCATCCCATCAGGGAGCACTTGTCAGCATTCCGTCGGGGGGCACTTGTCAGCATCCCATCAAGGAGCACTTGTCATCATCCGGCAAAATCCGGTAAAATCCAATGTGAAAATCTCGAGCATCTGGGTTCAGGGGTGAAGCTCCTGGGAAGGATTATTAGCCTTTCCCCAGTGCAGTATGAAGTCAACCGACAACCATGTTGTATCTCATTAACCGGTATTCGAAATCCTATGAACCCGCAATACTATAAGGGCGTGTTTGGCTCATCACCATAATTTGGGATAGTCTTGACTTTACAATTGTGATGTCCAAATCATAATTTCGGATCATGATTCGGAAACAGTTCTCCACCAAATACATTGCAATTCTCAATTTTCCAAATTACAATTGAAGGTTTATGCAAGGAGGGTGGGTAAAGAGGAACTGCGAGTAGGGGATATCAATACGGCAACCCTTTCTATGGTGTGATATACAATCTCAATCTATTTAATAGAGAGCTCTTAGGGTAAAAAATGGTAAAAAATTATTGACCTAAACCTTCAAATAACAATTTCAAATCATGATTCGAGTTCACGGTCGGGCCAAACACCATTACAGTACTAAATTTATGTAGAGACTTTGTGGTGGACGCATCCAGAGTCATTCTAACTATCTTGGCGTGCATATGCCAAGCATTTTACGGTATTATCCAGATGATGATTTGACTCCTAGAACAACTTCAACCTCAATTAACTCCGTGAATACTACTTGTTTTTCAATGTTTTTATTATTATTCTCACAACCTCAGATGTGATTGAATGGACGACCTTAACTTTGTATTGTTTGAGTTTGAGATGGTCCTCACCAAGCTCGAGGTTTATCAGTATGCACCGGTTCATTCACTGATGTCTTGGCCCAGCATCACACAGCTCTTCAGCAAGATCCACCGCAAAGTCAACAACACATCCGGATGTACCGGTACGAGTACTCTACCCGTAAGATCCCATTTCTTGGCATACAGGGGTGCATCCACCGCAAGGTCTCTACCGGTATTTCAGATCATAATTTAGGCCCAAGTGAGATCTGCAATCACAAATTACCCTACTCAAATCACGGCGACCCTAAACCTATCGTGGTCTGACGGTTGGTTGCCCAGGATGAAGTGGAGGGACTACCATACTCAAGTGACCTGGAGGGGCAAGGGCTCCCTTGGTCCGGATTGGCCAAGAAACTATCATATGATAGCTGTGCTGGCGAAGGGAGCCCTATGCCCTATCATCCATCTACTCCTAGTGAAAATCATGACCTTTGTATTATAATATCATACTATCATAGTACAATAAGAGTATGATACAGCAATGTTTCTTTGTATGATACCATTGGCTGTCAATCCCCAATCAATTGACTTATCCAAGCGCACCTATGTCCGACCACGGTACCGTTAGTGTCTGTCCGGCCGCCATAATCGAGGGGGGGCTGTGGCAAGAAATGAGGTGGTCAATGCCGACTTGCGAGCAAGATAACTTCTGTCCATTGTGCTCGATACGATCAGGTTACCCAGCAGTCCTGGACTAATTTCTACAAGCCCGACCTTTTTCCGCCGATTGCCGTCTGCTATTGTATTCTTATTATACAGTACGATACTCGGGATCGGCCGCAGATCTCTCCCCTTCCGACGTGGAACCGTGGAACCCACCACCCAATCGGAGGATACTTGCAGGGGCGGTTAGCCATCCTCAGCGGTGGAGAGATCACTCTACGGTAGCTGGAAGAGGTGGACCTAGTCTACCCGAAGAACCCTGTTCGCTTGTTCAGGTCGTCAAGGCAATTTATTGTTCTGGGAATTCCTCTCTTCTGCAAGTTCACACGCATTCGATAGTTGGATTTCGAGAATTTCAGGGCACGGTGGAAACCCCCCCCCCCAATGATTCCGGCGAGTTGGAGAGTTGCATGTAGTTCGATCAAATATACGTAAAAAATTGTAGTGTTATACTGTATATTCGCCCTTGCTTTTTATATCATAATAATATTATTATGACATTATGATACCATACATATACTGTACTGTACCATACAAACGAGCCCCTAAGTTTCGAACCCCCTGAATTGTATACCCTACCGTATAAGTCTCCTCTAGGTTCCACATTTAAGAATATTTTCAGCGCTAGCTATCAGTAAACTTTTTTATCATAAATTAACAACTTACCTGCTAACCGCAACTCTTAAGCAGAATATTTTCACAACCTGTAACTTCCTACCTATTATACATGTGCAGTTTGAGTGAAAATAAGTAAAATTTATCATAGCTGTTGAATAAAATAGGTATTTTAATAACAATAATTTATTATACAGTTCTTATACGGTATTATACTGTATTATACAAACTTGTTAATTACAAATCTCACGCCCTAGTTGCAGGAGGATAGCATTCCATAAGGGGGTGGGTGGTGGGGTCTTGGCATAGAACAACCCCCCCTCGGCAGCACAGGTAAAGATCAAGTGATATCTCATGACGGAAAAGGGAACAAAAAATGAAATTTGCTTATAGTGGGGCGTGCATAGAACAGGGTAGAGGGCGTGGATTTGAGCACCGGATAGCATAACCGCGTTTCTAGTTTCAGCAGTGTAGTATGGCACAATACTTCTTGAATAGTGGATTCAAGTTCCGGACTCTCTGCACTTGCGATCCAAGCTGGAAGATTCCTCTCGCGTGATGATGGGTTGGGATTTCCTTCCAGTTTTTTGCTCGGATATCGCAAAGAACTAAAGTACTCTCATACCTACTACTCTGGTGCACTTGCTTGCTTGTTTGCTTCTCCACATCTACTCAGACCTTTCCTCCCCCCCCCCCTTTTTTCTCATACTAATATTTCCCACTAACTTTCCCCGAATAGAAAGAAGATTCTTGGGGTCCAAACCCTTTTTAGAGATTTACGGTTTTTTCAAAAGTATCCTGCATATTTTTAACAGCACGAACCTACAAACTCCAGAAGTACTATAGCAGATAGTTGGAGTTGGATTTTGAACGCGGAGAATATCTAAGGCCTCACTGTACCCGTGCTATGTTCGAGAAGTCTGTAGAAAGGACTGCAAGTTGCGTGTGGCACAGAGGATTCCGGCTCTGGTCGATTTTGGCTGTGTGCAATAGCGGTTGGCCCGTCACGACATAAGGGGGTTTGCGCGGTATGATCTAGTCCATGTGGGAGCTATCAATCGTGTTGCTGGAGGTTTCCGCTCGCATCGAGAGCTGGTGGAACCGGTGATAAATGTCGGGCTGCTCGGACTCGGTCCCTTTGTGATGGGGGGACTATCATACTGTAACTCTCGAGTATCTTGAAACAGGTCTTGTTGAGATTATGCTTAAGGAGCGTAGATACAACAAGATCGTGCCTCAATGAAAGCATGAAACTGTGGTGGAAGTTGGCATTTTGCGCCCTCAATTATAGGTCCAATTTCATGGTTTCTACTTGTGCA